ATTTTACAGTCTTAAAAACCTTCTTTTGGAAGAACATTTAATATGCTAGTTATACACTCTTAATTATAAAAACAGCTATTATATGTGTAATAATATAGTATTCCATTTCTATTAAAGCAATACCTGGTCATATATCCATGTTAATAAATTTAAAAAATATATACTGGTAAATGTTATTTCAATGGAGAGACAAATAAATATATTTTAAAAGGTAACTTTAAAAGAGTAATCTAATGAATGTGTGTGTAAATCATTTACATAATTCACATAATATCCAACTTCGTTCCCTTGGGGTCTTTGCAAAACTTCCTAGGGAAAGGAGTCAAACCTCTGGGGTAGTGAAATCATTAGTTTCTATTAAAATATCTCATTTCTGATCTGTATCCAGGTATCTATCTACAAGCACACACACATATACATGTTCATATATATATATATATATATATATGCACACATGCATTCACACATATATACAGATACATGTTTAGATATCTGTCAATTACCATTTGGGCTCCCTGGAGGTTAGCTTGATTCCAAAACTAGCAGTATATCTCTGATGTTTTGAAATGTTCCCTTGGGATATTTAGGGTATATAACATTCATTTTCCTTCAGGCTCAGGTCAACAGTCTTCATATCAAGAAGTTAAAAATTTGCCCAGAGACTGTGATGTTTAGACAACCAAGTTCCTGGGAAATAGGACCAGATATATTTTATCTCCTGTTTTTCCTTCCAAAACTAAGGGAAGGAAACAATATAGGGATCAGTGACAAGAAAATTTCCATTTTAGACATAGAGGTAAAGAGGGAAAATGATTTAAGGTTGGTACTAACTGCTTTTTTTACACTCCACAGATGTAAATGTTTTATTTTATTGACCTAGGTTGAAGTCAGAAGGCAATGCAAGACAATGATGCAGAGGCTCGTGGAAATATTTATTCCCCACCTTTGGCATTAAAAATTCATTTAGGTGTTCATAATGCCCATGCATCTATATAAACAACTGTTTTAACTGTATAGGAATATGTGCTTTGGGAGTGATGGGAAACAAAGAATGGACCAATACCATGTCAGGGAATAATGGGAAATATATAAAGAACAATTCTAGGTCATGAAAGTCCATGTTCAAATTTCTCTTGCTGCCTACCTGCCTTCCCTTTTTTCCTTATGAGTGTCTGATTTTACTTGAGTTAGACTCTGGAAATTCTTACTTACTTATACCAAAATATATTTTTAGGCCAATATATATCATGTAGCTTTACTTTCCAGGAGGAACCTATTGCCATGTCATAAGAATTCAGAATGGTTTAGTGGGAAGGGGTAGTATGAACCCTGACAGTTGGTTTTCCATCTTTGTTATACAAGTGAATGATTTGTTTTGATTGCCAAGGTATCCATTTCAGAGAGGCACCCACTTCCAAGATGCTATCTCTGATAAACACATTACCAGCCACACACCTGACTAGATAACCCCCACACCTTCTTTGTTTTACAGATCTTGGGTGATTCTGATAATTGACCATTTGGGCCATTTGTTTTGTTTTTTCTTCTCTTGCTGTGCTTTAAATTCCCATTCTTATGTTTTTTGTTTTTTTGTTTTTTAAAGGAAGTGAAAATTTTTATTTTTTATTTATTTTTTAAAATTTTATTTTATTATGTTATCTTAGTCACCATACAATACATCATTAGTTTTTGATGTAGTGATCCACGATTCATTGTTTTCATATAACACCCAGTGCTCCATGCAGTATGTGCCCTCCTTAATATCCATTCTTTTTTTTTTAAATTTTTTATTGTTATGTTAATCACCATACATTACATCATTAGTTTTGGATGTAGTGTTCCATGATTCATTGTTTGTGCATAACCCCCAGTGCTCCACGCAGAACGTGCCCTCAATTCACTGATAAAGGGTGAAGCTGAGATATCCTAGGCCCCACCCTCAATCCCAATAAAAGCAGAACCCCAGGCCCCCACACATTCCCCTGCCTTCACTTCTCTGTGTGGTCCCAGATTTGCCATGTGATTTCCAGGACTTATAAGTAATAAAGCTTTTCTCTTTCAAAATTTCCCGATGGTTTCTGCTGAGGGCTGCTTGCAGTTACCACAAGAATCAAAAGGGCCAGTCCAGCCACAACACTGGTTATCCGTAGGCTGAGACCAGCACACCAGGGGGATGGGGTGGGAGGAGGGAACAGATCACTGCCTATAGATTCTGGAAATGAGGATTGACAATGAGTGGTATATCGAGTTGTACTTTATGAAAGGTGAGAGAGGTGTAGCAATATCCAGAAACACTGACTATACACCTGGAACAGATTATCAGTAAATTTCTCTGGAAAGAGATATTGAATTAGACTGTGGGAAACAATTTTAAATTTGTTTCAAAACAGATTAAATTTGTGATTAATACTGTGTCCCTTTGGTTTAAGCTTCTATCACCAGCAGGGCATTTGGGAAATGAATTGAATCTGTACAGAACATAAAATTTATTGTAAGAATAAAGCCATTCCTAAATTATTAAAGTTATCTTTATGAAAAAAAAGAGCATACAGAAGATTATTTTGTAGTAGGTACTAAAGGGGAAATATTAAGACCTAGAATTAAGCATTGTCCAGAATTGTCAAGATTGGCTTATGTTATAGACGAGGCTGCAAACGTGGGTAAATATTTAGAGCATAGGGAGCTACAGACTGAGGCGGAGAGGTAATCATAATAGGGAAGAATTTATAAGTTTACAGACTAAATGTATTTTTTATTCTTTTTTTTTTTAAGTTATCATTTATTTATTTATTTCACAGAGAGATAGTGAAAGCAGGAACACAAGCAGAGGGAGTGGGAGAGGGAGAGGCAGGCTTCCCGCCGAGTAGGGAGCCCAATGTGGGGCTCCATCCCAGGACCCTGGGATCATGACCGGAGCCAAAGGCAGACGCTTAACGACTGAGCCACCCAGGTGCCCCCAGACTAAATGTATTTTTTAAAGAGAGAATAATAGTGCAACAGTGCTAGAAGTTCTTTTAAAACATGACCTCTAAGGTTTATAATCCTAATATTGAAATATATTTATCTGTGCTATATATATTTAAATTTATATTTTTGTAAATGATATATGACAGTTCTTTGAAGTGTATAATGTTGTAAACTCATTTGTAAACAATTTTTTAAGTGTATTTAAAACCCTGATGAACTCAGGGTTGCAGTTTTGGTCCTAGGGGACCTAGATGTCCTTGTCTCCACATAATCAAGACTACCATATTTTGACTATTTGTCTAAATTAGAGATTAATAACAAAGCAGAAATGTTAGCTTAAAATCAAATCATTGGCATTAATTTGAAAACTGGAGCTTTCATCAGATTTAAGTGTTAATTTGGAAAGTCTTCATGTTAATACTTATTGTATACTAACAAGTTATGTAAGAGGATTTCTGTGTTTCTCATAATTTAGGTTACAGATATTTTAACAGAGATGGCGTAGAACTATCATTGTTAAAACAATCAACTTTAATTTAATCAACTTAAAAATCATTCTATAACTTTTACCTAGAATTTCTCAAAAAAAAATTCTGACCCAATTCTTTTTTGCTTTAATTTCTACTTCATCTGAAATTAATATGTCTGCTCCAAATTTTATGTGTATTTTCTCTGAAGAGTATACATTATTTTACTTTGTTCTTTGATTTTCTTTATCATATGGCCCTCTATACTGCCTATATACATTTTTATAAAATTAACAGATTTATCTCCACTTATATAGGGCAATTTAAATTATTTATCCTAATAGCCCGATCAATGCATTTTATCTGCCTTTTGTCACATTAACATTTTATTGATTTATTTAAGAATCCTTTGTTTTCTCTCTTTTGTGATGAGAATGTTTTGTTTAGTTAATATTTTATAGTGATTTATGCATTTATATTCTGTTTTTATTCTTGGAGGTTCCTTTTGTGTTTTCTAAATAATAGTAAACTATACTTTAATATTTTTAAAATATTCTGACAGCTGTACTTTTCATTATGATATCTGAGAAACAGGATAACCTTCAGGCTATTTCCTTAGAAGAATCCTGCTATTCAGAGATTGATAAAGTGTGTTATGATTGGCTCCTATTTCTAGCCCTATCTCCAACTTCCTAAAGCCCACATGCAAAAGACATTACAATATTTTTTCTCAAGACATGATTTATTTAAAGTTCCATGATTTTTTCATGTTTATTTTTCCATAATATGTGTATAGTTATTAATATTTAAATAATATCATTTAATAAAAATAGCTTCAGAAAAATAATAACCAAACTTTGTCTTTTATAAATGGACATTTGTCTATTAAAGAACTAGGCAAATATTAAGCACTAAAAAGTATTTGTTGTCTACATTGATAAATGAATGAATAAAAAAATAATACATATATAAAATAATCTATTTGGTTTAAACAATATTTATACTCATATTCCCTGGAAGTCAGAAAAATTGGTTGTTTTGCCATTGAAATGTACCTTGAGGAAAAAAGGCAAAAGAAATTAAGACAGTGACTATGACCAAGACATTTTCTTCTTTTATCTCTATCTAGGAGGACCCACAAATGCTGTAAGATGATTAATGATCATCCTAGCTTGATAATGCTAATGCTCAACCAAACAGACCTGACCCTAGTCTCATTCATTCTTAATGGGATCCCAGGCCTGGAGGACATGCACATGTGGATTTCCTTCCCATTCTGCTCCATGTATGCTGTGGCTGTGGTAGGGAATTGTGGGCTCCTCTACCTCATCCGCTATGAAGACTCCTTGCACAGGCCCATGTACTATTTTTTAGCTGTGCTTTCCCTAACTGATCTTTTCATATGCTCTAGTACAATCCCTAAAGCTCTCTGCGTCTTCTGGTTCCATTTCAAGGAAATCAGCTTTGATGGATGTCTGGTCCAGATGTTCTTCATCCATACCTCCACAGGGATGGAGTCTGGGGTGCTCATGCTTATGGCCCTGGACTGCCCCATAGCCATCTGCTACCCGCTGCGTTACTCTACTACCCTCACGAATTCTGTTATTGCAAAGGCTGGGCTCTCCACCTTTCTGAGAAGGGTATTCCTCATAATTCCCTTCACTATCCTCACCAAGCGCCTGCCCTACTGCAGAGGGAATATAATTCCCCACACCTACCATGACCACATGTCTGTAGCCAAATTATCCTGTGGGAGTATCAAGGTCAATGTCATCTATGGTCTGACGGTTGCCCTCCTGACTGGGGGCTTTGACATCCTGTGCATCACAATCTCCTACACCATGATCCTCCGGGCAGTGGTCAGCCTCTCTTCAGCAGATGCTTGGCACAAGGCCTTCAGCACCTGCACTGCCCACATCTGTGCCATTGTTTTCTCCTACAGCCCAGCCTTCTTCTGCTTCTTTTCCCACTGCTTTGGGGGTCACACAATCTCTCCATCTTGTCACATCATTGTGACCAATATTTATCTGCTCTTGCCTCCACTATGAACCCCATTGTCTATGGGGTGAAAACCAAGCAGGTACAGGACTGTGTCATAAGGATCCCTTCAGGTTCTAAGGATATCAAATTCCAGAGCAAATGAAAGGGATATTTGCCTGGGTTGGGGTGTGAAGGGAAAGAATGCTTCTCTCTGTCTGTTTAGGCAGGAGAATTTCCAAGAATAGGTATATAATTTTTCCAGGTAAGCATGATGAATAGTTCATTCCCATTAAATTTTCTGCAGAATACCAAATAATTTTTCATGCCACATCACCTTCCATATGAGTTTTTTTAGCTCCAGGTTTTCTGTGTAACTTTACCTCCAGGACTCAGTAATATTAGGTTCCAAGAAAGAAAAATACTAATGAGAAGCTGGGACAACTATCTAGAAAATTGAATCAAGTGAAACTAATGATCTAGGGTTAGATGACTAAAATCGTTCTGGGTTTTTTTTGTTTTTGTTTTCATTGTTGTTTTTAATTGTAAATGGAATTTCTAGATGGATAACTATAATTTAACCCTGGAAAAAATATATTACATATTCTCATTATCACCAAAATCCTGTTTTCTTAGCAATTTTTAAAGATGAAACTAGAAAGTCTTCTGTGTGTGAGGTGTAAGATTCTGGGGTCCTATGAGAACCTTGGTGACTTTGTACCTGACCAGGTCAGTCCTAGCATGAGACATTCAGGCAATTGCTTCCTTCCCAACTGGTGGGTTGTCTTTTGTCTTCAAGGTGGCTTTCAAAGAATGCACAGTTTTGAAGGAACTATGAATAACAGTTATGAAACTTATGACATATATTAATGACAGTTATTAATGACCACTACAAAATAACAAATAAATGTATTTCTACAAGTACAGGGCTATGGGGAGCAATAGTTACTTTTCTTTTTTTGAGCTGAGAATTGAACTAAAAATTGCTTGAATATTTTCTGTACAATATTCAATATTCTTTCTAAATTAACATGAAGTAAGAAACTACAAATAATGATAGTTTTACAGCATTGTCACAGATAGCATAAAGAAGATTGCAAAGTTGATTTTTCCTTCCCAACTTCTAAGAACTACTTTTCTCTGATGTTGGTAATTTATGCTCATTAATTTCTGTTTCATTAAAATGTAACATCTAGTGTTTTTCATTTTATAAAGGCATAAAACGTACTGCATGGAGCACTGGGTGTTATATGAAAACAATGAATCGTGGATCACTACATCAAAAGCTAATGATGTATTGTATGGTGACTAACATGACATAATAAAATAAAATTAAAAAATTAAAAACACAACATAAAAAAACAAATAAATGTTCATCACAAAATCACCCTCTTTTCATATTTCTCTGTATCCTGATAGCAACATTTCTTTAAAGGTTATCAGTATTCATTATCCTTACTTATACATCTTGAAATAATTCTTACCCATTTCTTGTTTTCTTCAGAATATCTTTCATTGTTTCACTAAAATTGCTTTTGTCAATTTCACAAATGACTTTCATATTACTAAAGCCAATGGTCCTTCTCTATGCCCATCTTGCCCTACCTCTCAACAATACTGAACGTAACTGATTAGTCCTTTTGTCTAGAAACCCTCTCATTTCTTGAATTCTGCAACACATCACACATTCTAAGTCATTCTTCATTTTTACTGAACGGTCTTTATAGTGCCATTTGCTTTCCCGTTTCCTCTGGATTTCTTTATACTAGCATATCCCTGCGTTCAGCTCTCTTTTCTTTTTGCACTCATTCCCTAGGCATTCCAGTACACATAGCCATAAATGCCATTGTATGCTAATAACTGCCAGACTGATTAACTCAGTAATGAATTCATGGAAGCTCAGGTGCAAGTTCAAGGTAAAGAAAATTTCATGATACATTTTTCTTAATGGCATTCTGTCATTTCTAGGTCCTTTTCTTGTTTTGCTTTTTGTTTTTACTTTCATCTTATTTCAGTTCTAATCTTCAGGCCATTGACATTCTATTCTCCATGTGTTGTACAAATATTCTTAAACATGTGACTATGAAATCCGTTACGAATGTTTATTTTAGAAACATCCATTTTATTGTACTAAAATAGTACATTCCTTACTTTTAACTCAGTTATTTTTAAAAATGTGTTTTTTAAAAATTATGTATACTTCACTTCTTGCTTCTGATTATTTTATAGATTTTCTTAGCATTCAATCAACACTATTTTCTTAATCATTCCCTGATTATAAATATCTATGTTTTTTCACTCTCTGTCACCACAGATATTACTATGCTAAACATCTTTGCTCACATGCACATACACACACATGCAGGCCCTTATGGAACTGGAGATATTTTATTCAGAATATATACTGTGCAGTGAGTTTGCAGAGTTATAATCTCTGCACACTACCTTTAATGAAGCAGCCTTAGACTGTTGGTCAACTTTCCAATACAAACAATGGAAGCCAAAAGACAATGAAATAATATTTTTGAAGTGCCTAAAAAACACTTGGCAACTTAGGATCCTGATCTCATGAAGGAAGGGAAAACTGAAGGGGGAGTGGAATCAGAGGGGGAGACAAACCATGAGAGACTGGACTCCGGGGAAAAATCTGAGGGTTTTAGAGGGGAGGGGGTAAGGGGGATGGGTTGGCCCAGTAATGGGTATTAAGGAGGGCATGTGTTGCAATGAGCACTGTGTATGTGGTTTTTTTTTTTAAGTTTTTTTTTTTAAGATTTTATTTATTTATTTGACAGAGAGAGAGAGAGACAGCAAGAGGGGGAACACAAGCAGGGAGGAGTGGGAGAGGGAGAAGCAGGCTTCCCGCTGAGCAGGGAGCCTGATGCAGGGCTCAATTCCAGGACCCTGGGATCATGACCTCAGCCGAAGGCAGACGCTTAATGATCGAGCCACCCAGGCACGCCGGCCATTGGTGTTATACACAACTAATGAATCATGGAACAATACATCAAAAACTAATGATGTACTGTATGCTGGCTAACATAACATAATAAAAAAAAGATGATAAAATAAATACCTATTCACATAAACAAATGTTGAGAGGAAATACTAAAGTAAATGTGTTATTCAGAATATAGAATAATGATTACCTGATGGAAGCTCAGAATGAAATATAGGAATGCATAACAAAACTAACATGGAAGAAAAATACAATGACAATAATAACATCTATTTTATTGGTCCAAAAATGGCAAGAGGAAAAAAGAACAGATGGGACTTGGTAAAAAAGACAATAGGAACATGGTAAACTTGACAAAAAATTATGTCAGTAATTACATTAATATAAGTTGACTAAGCAATTCGGTAAAAGAAAATGAAATGAAAAATAAAATATCCTAAGAAACTGTTATTTAGAAGACATAATATATATATCCTGTATATATATGTAACATATATACATAATATATATATAATATAAGAATATTACATAAGAAAAAGCTTGTGTGGCTATAACCAGCAAAGTAGACTTTAACACAATAAATAGAAGTGATAAAATGCAAAGTTTCATAATGATTACAGTAGCAATCCAACAGCAAAATATACCTAACTTTGTATATGGTTCAAATAGAAACATACACACATAAACATACTCACAAAAGAGGTGGAAAGAACTAGAAGGGGAAATTGATAAATCAACAGTGAAATCATAGTTGGATATTTTAACAGTCTTTCAGCAACTGAAGAGCAGAGATTTAGAAAAATCTAAATAATATAGAATATCTGAACATAAGCAACCCACTTGTCTGCACAGTAAACAACATCCACCAGCTTTAAGTATAGTTTTATTTCTCAAACTAATATGAAACATTTACCAAAATGAACAATAAGAGGATGTCAAGAACAAATTTATCTCATACATCTGAAAAAGTAGATGAGATAGACACATATTAAAAACACTACAAACAATCTAAGAAGGAATATAAGGTTATAGTAGTCACACAATACCATATGATCCAATAATTCTGCTATTGGATATTCATGCAAAGAAAGTGAAAACACGAACTCTAAAAAATATATGCACCACTATGTTTATTATGCACCACTATGTTTATTGCAGCATTGTTTACAATAGCTAAGATAGGGAAGCAACCTAAGTATGCATCAATAGACGAGTGAATAAAGAAGTAAAGAAGATATATATATATATATATATATCTATTTTACTTCTTTTTTATGTATCTCACATCTTAATTTTAAAATTATATATATATATATATATATATAAATATATAATGGAATATTACTCAGCCATAAAGAAGAATGAGATTTGCCATTTATGACAACGTGGATGGACCTAGAGGGTACTATGAAATCAATCAATCAATCAATCAACCAAAGAAAAACAAATCAGAAAAAGAAAAACATATACCATATAATTTTATTTATATGTGGAATCTAAAAAAACAAAATGAATAAACAAATAAAAAGCAGAATCGGACCTATAAATACAGAGAACAAACTGATAGTTGCCAGAGGGGAGGAGAGCAAGGGGCTGGGTGAAAAAGGTGAAGAGGAGTGGGAGATACAGGCCTCCAGTTATGGAATGAGTAAGTGATGGGGATCGGAGGTACAGGGAGCAGAGTCAATGATACTATAAGAGCATTGTGTGGTGACACACAGCAGCTACCCTTGTGAGCACAGTGTAGTGTATAGACTTGTTGAATCACCACGTTGTACACCTGAAACTAGGGTAACATTTTCTGTCAACTCTACTCAAAAAAAAAAAAAAGAGGGAGAAAAGAATTTTTAAGAGAAATTTAAAAAAAACATAAAAGGATTATTCTTCAGTCACATAAATGATCAATTTTACCTCCACCATAGCTTCTAAATCTATTCACTTTTCTTCATCTTTACTGCCCTGATCCTGGTTCAACACACAGTCATCGCTCCTTTGGGTTACTGCTATTCACCTGATTTACTCATATTTATTTTTGCCACACGGAATCTGCTCTTTTCATTGCTGCTATGTCCTAATTCTCCTTAAAAACTTCAGTGGTTCCTTATTATTTTAGCA